CCTCCTTTTCATTTCACGGGGAAGGGGGGGGGGGAGTGTTACTGAGGGTCTAATCATTGTAGGTTTGCTTGCTTCTCTTTTCATTTTCGGTCAATTCGGTATTCTTTCATTAACCCTTTGACGACAATGCGGATTTGCACGTAGCGTGCTCGTGGGACCACGCCTCTTTTGGCGCGCCCAACTCTCGCACAAAATGGGGCAAAATTGTCCCTAAAAGCAGTTTTTCTGTTGAAAATGTTTAAATGGGTAAAGAAGAAAATTTTAGGGTGGCACCCACCATTGGGTGCCATTGTCCCACGCGACGGTCATAGTGGCACCCACCGGTGGGTGCCATTGTCGCCAAAGGGTTAACGGCCACTGTTACCCCACCAGTTTGATCTGAGGCTGCTGCACTATGCAGAAGCTTGTTCTATTCGGGCTCAGCATGGAATTGCTGGGCCATGGAAAGCGTAACCTTATTTTGGAGGGGAAAACGCTAGTTGCGTGTAGAAGAGTATTGAACAACTTGAACTCACGACGCGAATGAGATTTCTTCGATCGGATCTTCCTTTGTTTTGACCGTTCACTAACATTCCTTTCGGACCCCTGCGATCTAGTGGATGAGCTTTTCGATTTTTTAGCCTTTCGGAATGAGCAAGATATTCTAGATTTTCTCGATTTGCCTGACTTCCCAGATTTGCATGATTTTCCCGATTTCTCTGAATTCTTTCCCGATTTCTTTGATTTTCCTGACTTTCCGGATTTTCCAGATTTGCCAGATTTTCCAGATCTACCAGATCTCCAGGAGCCATCACTTCTTCTTGACTGCGATTTCTTGTTTTTCGATGACCTCTTACAGCAACATACACAAGATCTTTTGGCATGCTCTGCCGACTTCTCCTTTCGGGAGCTCTTCACACTTTTGCTCGATGATCGTGTGCTGGACGTTCTGGATGCTCTTGGTCTGCTGTGAATGCTCATGGGAAGCCTTTCTCCATCGGATCTTTGCGATGCAACGGGAGTCCTTGCTTTTTCTCTTTCCTCACTCGCCCCCTCTTTCCGCTTTTCTCGGTAAGAATCACCGGGACCTGATCCCTGAGCTTCTGTAGGCTTCGCTGACTTATCACTCCGAGAAGCCGACTTCATCTGCAAACTGTCTGCATTACTGTAGTTGCAATAATTAATTTTAATAGAGGGGTGGGTGGGAGAAGGATTAATGGGTAAATAGTGGATAACTAATTCTTACGCAGTTTCTAAGTGCCTATTCAATGTAATTTACTAGCAATGAGCATATTATTTATTAGCAAAGCTTTTGGTTATAAAAGTGCACTAACTCCATGGATGGTTTCTGGTACGGTCTGCTGGAGTAGCTTGCTTAACCTTTCAGTTTTTCTTAGTGCTGCTCAAGTGTGAGAATTCTACACGAATAAGGTGGCTTTGCATAGCAAGATTATTGAACTGAATAATTAGACTGGCACAAATTTGTAAGCCACCCTGGCCGGTTTTGTTTGCACCTTATTGCCTTAGGGTAAGTAGATCCTCAATGCCTCTCTTGTAAAATCCCATTGAATTTGCTCGAGCAATGATTATATGTCGATTTTGACATCACGGTGGTTAGCGTAAATTTCTTCTCGAGGAGGTGGGCTAGAGAGTGGAGCATGTGAGCATCTGTCAAGACTAGGTCAGAGTTATAGGGCTAATGGGGAAAAACTGTCTGTCTGTCCGAATCAGTTGTTTCACTTTTTATCCTTTTTTCTGGCAGTATGTGACTGCCTATTCTCCTATGAGGTGTTGGCATATTAACACGTTGACGACATCGCGCGTTTTGTTTTTGCACCGCGTGGGACCAGAGCGATTTTGCGAGCGCCGCCGCCGCACACCAAATCCATGGATTTTGAGCTGTAAATCCGCAATACTTAGATGCGATGAAATGTTTTCAATGATGTTCGATCTGTCTAGCTTATCAGGAGTTACAGTAATGGAAGTTTGACCGAAATGACGTGTTAAGGCCATGAAAAGGCAAATTTTACTTACTTTCCCTTTAGTGGTTCCAAAATTAATTTGGACGTGGTTGTTTCAGTGAAAACACATATCTTCCCATACAAAT